TAACGCAGTTTTCATTGGCTCAACACATTATTCATTGGCTTAACACATTTTTCATTGGTTTAACATATTTTTCATTGGCTTAACACATTTTTCATTGACTTCATACATTTTTCATTGACTTCAAAAATTTTTTCATTGACTTAACACATTTTTCATTGACTTAACACATTTTTCATTGACAACACATTTTTCATTGGCTTAACACATTTTTCACTAACTTAACACATTTTTCATTGGCTTAACACATTTTTCATTGACTTCAAACATTTTTAATTGACATCAAACATTTTTCATTGACTTTAAACATTTTTCATTGACTTCAAACATTGTTCATTGACTTCAAACATTTTTCATTGACTTTAAACATTTTTCATTGGCTTAACATATTTTTATTGACGAATTTACTTATGACATATTTCATTGATTTAACACATTTTTCATTGAAAAGAAATATACAAAGGGAAGAGGAAAACCTGGCGACAAGGACAATAACAAAAAAGGACAATGTTATTGTTCTTCTTAAGGTTTTCCTCTACTCTTGGTCTATTTCTTTTTACAAACCAAAAGACATGCAAGGATAATATAATATTTTAATTGATATTTAACACACTCGACATATATTTACCAGCTATGTGAGTCACTCTTTAACTGATGCACAAGAATTTGTCATTACATGATCGCTTAGGACCGATTGCATTCTTTAAAATCTAACAAAAATTCATTGATATTAAAAACATGTTACTTTCTTTGTCAGGGTGCAGCAGAAATTATACCCAGTCAAATGCAAGAATCACAAGCCCTGGCTTTCCTAAGCAGTATTCTGCAAATCATTTATGTATTATCCAATACCAAGCTCCTGTCAACACAACATTAGCCTTGTATTTCCGTCGATTCAGCATGGAATATCATCCCAATTGTCGTTGGGATTCCTTAGAGGTATTCATTTGTTCATTTCTACTCTAAATGTTTCCTATATATTATGTCCAACATTAAATTTAACAGTTGCGGTATTCATAGATAACAAATTATGGATGTAAGAAAGGCTTTATAAAAAAAAAAAAGAATTGAGAAATTCTTTTAAAAAAAAAAAAGAATTGAGAAATACTTTCCTTTTAATATAAAGGTATTATAGATATCATAATTATTGGTGTAGCAATAATGTTCAAGGTAGTTCAAGTTAAAAAGAAGTGCAAAAAGAAACAGTTTAAAAACATACGTAGGGGAGTTTTAAAGCATATAAGCTGATTTACATATTTCTTAAAATGTTAACCTCTTTACATAACTTCTATAACTTAGACAGTAAAGGAAAATAATTTTTATTGATAAGAAAAGTGGCAGTGAAAAGTTTGCATTGAAATGCATCCGCCTTATTGTTACCGCAATTATCCCATTCCTTTGAAACGGCAGCAATTTATTGATATGGCCCTGACATATTGAACCAAGCTATTTTAATCAAATATAGTTTTCACAATGCGTTTTTATTTTTCTAAATTAATGTAGAACTTTGTTTAACTGTTAATGCCAGTAGGTTTTTATCTTATCCGGATTTTTTTCAAAGTGTTATGAAGTTTTGCCTTTTCTGCTAATTTTGTGTTTTTGGAACCTATATATATGGAAATGAAAACTGTACATTTTTATAGGGCACATAAGTGAAATGCACTTTTCCCTTTTTAACATCACTCATACTGCTCTGTTATTCCTTGATGAGCCCTCCTTATAAATATATATTTTGTTTCCTCATGCTTTAATAATCTTAACTGTTTTATTACAATGTATTTAAGAAGTGTTCGAATATTCTTCTGTCTTCTTTATTTTCAGATTTTCAATAGTTCATCTGTATCCATAACAAAGCTTTGTAACGAAGCCATTCCCTCTCCAATATTTCTTCCGGACAATATTGCCATGCTAAAGTTTATGACGGATGTCGTGGTACACAAGGCTGGCTACGATATCACAATTATTTCATCAACTGCAGGTAGGCCACTATGTGGGACAAGATAATTCATGTTATTTAGTTCTGTGCTCATGCAGTTATGTCATTCGATTGCCTAGAATCTTTATTAGTCAAAAAAGTATTGGTATAATATATATATTTAAAAACTATCTAACGCTCTATAACTCTCTATACCTCTCCCAATCGGCAAAAGAGCATTCAGTTTATTAAAAACACATGCACGTACACACACGCACATACACATTTTGTATGATTCCACAACTTTTTGAAATGTCTTTCAATCATAGATAGCCTACCTTTATGTCCTACAATTGTCATTGTATATCCTTAGGGTCTGGATGTGGTGGTGTTATAAATGAAACCCGTTTTGGAGCAGTCACTAGTCCTGGCTTCCCTGGCAACCTCAACGTGAGTCAGACCTGCTCATGGTTGATCACACCACCCAGCCGCACCACTCTGTATTTCAAATTTACAGAAATGAACAACCAGAATGGTACCTGCAGCAACAATTATGTAGCTGTGTATCNTATTATTATTTACTCTTTATATTTTTATCAGCAGCCTTCTTTTATTTTATGATACGATTGTATCAATTTTATATCGCACGATATATATATATATTGTATATATATATATATATATATATATATATATATATATATATATTAATATAATTTTGTCCCAAATCCATCAATACCCATAGAAGTGAATGCCATAATCTAAGCCTTCAACTTTATTTATGTATATAGCTGAGAACATAATACATGTGAAGGACAAATAATTTGGAACTTTCTAGGAACATCCAAAATTATCTTTAATTCTTATTCCATAACATTCCTTGAAGCTGATTAAAAGTTTATGGACCATAAAAAACATAAGGACATTTATAGAATCTTAAAAGGTACTAGCAAAATAGCAAAGCTTATATAATAATCTAGAAACTTCATAAAATTCATAAATAAATGAACCATTGATACTGAGAAAATTCCAAGGAAAATATAGAAATGAATAGAACTTATCTAACATTTCAATAAGCTTTTAGATCCCACTATACATCCCCGTAAAAAAATGTACTACTTTCTGGAACATTGGAAATTAAATTTAATATCCTCTTCAAAACATGTGAAAAATAACATTTTTACGTAATTATTTTTTGTAGGTCTATATGAAGAAGACTACATCTAAATGCCATAACTTTAACCATTTTTTAATCAGGATAAAAGATGAGTCCTGTGGGTTGTCCCCTTCATAAGGTTCCATTAAAAATGAATCACATAACTAAAAGAGTTAAAATTTAGAGTTTGTCCCATAATCTGTTTAAAAATGCCATTATTCGTGACTTTAAATGTTCAAACTTTCTTGAAAATTCTAGTTTGGCCTTGAATGTATTTGACATTAAAAAATTACATCATGCTCAGAGGGGGTGAGGGGGGGGGATCGAGAATTTGTGACACTTTGTGAGGGGTGTGGGGTGGGGTGGGGGGTAAAAATGTGTGATGTCACGTTTGAAAATTTAAAAAAAATGCACACCTTTTGCGCAAATCGAAAAATGGCGCAAAAACTGTTGTGGCCATTTTACATTCAGCTTGTGGACGACTTCATAGTTTTCTAACAATACTACATCTTAATCCCTTATGTAAAAATGTTAAAGAATAAAATAAAATCTTAGTTTAGTTATGAAAATTTTATGTATGTTTTGAATTTTTTTGGTGTGACATGACACTGGGGTAAGTTGAAAGGGGGGGGGGGTGCAGAATTTGTGAAACTTTGTTACAAGGGTGAGGGGAAGTCTAAAAAGGTAATTTTTTCCACTATTTAATTTGTGAACAATCCTTTATTAATTTTAAGGCCACAGATATTTTAAACAGCCTATGA